GCTAGAATTTCCCAGGCAAGCTGCGTAGCCTATTTTCTCAATAGTAGCCAGTGTTAAGAGGGTGTAGAGTGGGTGAAATGAGATTCCCACGTGACAGTCACCTGGCACAGCGTGGTGGGCACTCGGTACGTTAGTTCTTCATCTCTTCCTGCAGCCCTGTGTTAGGAAGGAAGTTTCTAGAGAGCTGTCTGTGTAGGTTGCGCATGAAGAAGGTGGGAATCGCTGCGTGGAGCCTGTTTCACTAGCATCCCTTGGTGATAGGAAGTCCTCTTCGAAGAAGAGAAGAATAGACAGGACAAAGTGGGGTTCAGGTTATACAGCCCACCCCCTGCCTGCATGACCCCAGAGGACTTCCCATTGGGTTGGCAAATTTGGGGTCACCTAATGATTTAGGGAACTCTCTAGAAAGTTGTGATGGAAACAGAGGAAGATTGTCATCATTGGTCTCCATGGGGCTGGGAGGGAAATCCAGTCTTATGAACCCGTGAGTTCTGCCCAAGTAGGGCTTGGAGATCGTTCCTCCCATCTCCTGCTTCCCCCCCAGGTAGGGGCGTCTCAGGGTGGAGCCTTCAAACCCCAAGCTGTAGACCATGCATGACCGAGAAAAGGTTTCACTGTAGGCAAAATGAGAAGCGTAACTCCCAACATAAAGACTTTTTCATTAAGTCAAATCTGAAATTGTGTGAGTATACTGCCTCCTGTTTTTAGTATTGAAATATCTTTCCTTTCTTGTGGTGATAATGATACCAGAGAGAGAAAGTTTTTTTTTTTTTTTTAATGCTTCTCACTTTGCCAAATGAAATCAACACCATAACCCCCCATGATATATATATTACCTTTTTTTTTTTTTTTTTTTTTGGAGACAGAGTCTCAGTTTGTTGCCCAGGCTAGAGTGAGTGCCGTGCATCAGCCTAGCTCACAGCAACCTCAAACTCCTGGCTCAAGCAATCCTCCTGCCTCAGCCTCCCGAGTAGCTGGGACTACAGCATGTGCCACCATGCCTGGCTAATTTTTTTCTATATATATTAGTTGCCAATTAATTTCTTTCTATTTATTAGTAGAGATGGGATCTCGCTCTTGCTTAGGCTGGTTTCGAACTCCTGACCTCAAGCAATCCGCCCGCCTCGGCTTCCCAGAGTGCTAGGATTACAGGCGTGAGCCACCCGCCCGGCCTAAGAAATTTTAACCCATGAAATACGAAATAGTAGGAACTACAGCTCCAGAGAGTGTAGTTTTCTCCACGGTCATCACTGATATCATAGATGTGCGGGCCCTTAGCAGCCCGGGCTGGTGGAGCCTCGGGGTGGGTGATGGTTTGCCTGCAGGGCGCAGGGTCTCAAGCCAGAATATGAACAAAAATGGAATTAAAGGAATTCACTGGAAGGGCCTCACAGCTGCTAGAAACAGGAAGTGGGGGCCCAGGAGGCACCCACCCATGGCTGCTCTTTCTATCCTTTGGGGTCTCCCATTGAAGGTCGTGGGGGTCTCTCATGTGATTTCTCATGCAGATCTGCTCCATCCTCTTTCTCTGTTTCACTTTCCCTGCCCATGTCAGCCACATCTTCAAATGACCTCACATTTCCAGTTCTTCATCGTCACCGACTGATGGATCCTGTGTCCCCGGTTGTCATTTCCAAGGGAGGGAATGTGATTGGTCCAGCTAAGATCAGGGGCTACCGCTTTGTCCAATCAGGGAGACCAGGCAGGGAGGGGGTGGCAGTGGGCTCTGTCGCTCTGCCCAGGGCAGCCCTCAGCACCCCCTCCCCACACCCTTCCTCCTGTCCCTTTAGTGGCAGCCCCGTCTGCACTCAGGGTGTGCACCGCTTGACTCTTTTTGTCCAGCTGTTGTGTGTATATTGTCCTTGGCCCCCAGTATACCACAGTTGCTTGGTGAGCTCAAGAATCATACCCAGCACTTAGACCCCCGTGTCTAGCACTTTCCTGAGTGCAGAGGTCCTGTCCCGAATGCTTTCTGGCTTTTTCCCCCCAATATCTTAAATCACAGAGTATCTGGTACAAGTGTCAGCAATTGCCATTGTCGTTTCTCTGAACTAAATGATGTCTCAGCGGTGAGCTGGCATCATAGGGGGGACACAGCGTGTGAGGAGACTACTAATATGCAGGATGAAAGCCATCACAGTGAGAAAGTGAATAACATAAAGAAACGAGAGTCGTTTACATTTGGAGCTGAATAGTTATGTATAGGAAGTTGGGGGGTGGAGGTTTAGCCGTACATCTCTGTTTTTCTACGTACCACCACAATGACCCTGAAGGAGACATAGAGATTTGATTTTGATTTTCTTCAAGGATTATTGCCTTCTGCAACGGAAAATGACAACTCATCACACGTGTCGTGCCTGCCCTAGGCTGCCAAGACGGCCAAACAGCAGAGGTTGTAAATGTGGCCATGTTGCTTAAAGTAATATTATTCCTTGGCTCTCTTGCTAAACTGAATATATCTTCTTCTTCTTCCTTTTTTTTTTTAAGTCAGGGATGAGGACATCATGGCTTGATGGTGCTGAGCATAGTGGCTAGGAAACTTCACTGAGGACACCATGAATTTGTCGAAATCTTGGTGAACTGGGCGGTGATTTAGGGATGATTTTCCTCATCAAATAATACTTGTAACGTGTGCAAAAACCCGATTCCCGTAACAGAAACAGACTTCATGAAAAATAAGCTGGGAATAAACCACTTTGGTGACTTGCACAGAAAAATTAACCCAGAGAGACGATATGACTATTCGTGGGTGTCCACCTCTTGGCTGTGGTATTGGCGTGTGAGCTGAGCCGAGTTTCCTGGGGAAGCCCCAGGCATCTCCCCGGAGCCACGTCCCCAAAGGGACACGGGGGAGGAAGTGCTGACCTTACCCCCTTCCCTCTGTGGGAAGATCCCGAGAGGCGTGGCAAGGTGCGGGTGTCCAGAAGGTCCCATGGTGCGGCTGCCAGCAGGGGTCTGGTCTCCTTGTACTTTTAGCAAGAAGGAGGGAAAGAAGCTGCCCATCCCACGCCTAAAGAGTTCCCCTAGAGTGTCAGGCCACCCTGGGGTGTCCCCGAAAGAGATGTCGATGCCTTGAGGCAGGATGGGCTGCAGACTTTTCAAGGTACCTTGTTCAAGAAGCCACCGCAGACCACGAGACCAGGCACAGACCCTTTCAAGGGCAGGGCCCTGCGTGAGCACACTGCGTGCTCCCCTAGGAAGCTGGCCCTGCCTTAAGAGCTAAGCGCCTGGGCACTTAACTTCACAGTGCATTTGGCAGCCTTAGGAAGGTTGAGAGGAAATTAAGGAATGCAAACAAATGCACAAACCCAGCTCCTGGGATACGGAGACCACCTGCATCTCACCACTGGCCTTGCAGCATTGTTGCCCTCTTAGGAAAACTCAATATACCTCAATTGCTTGGTGAGCTCAAGCTTCATTCAGGCCACTTTGCCTAAAAAGATGCCTAGGATCGTGTCATGCAAGTCCGGGCTGGGGAATGGGGACAGAGATAGTTGAGATGATGCATTCACTCAGCCTAATCCCTGAAGGTTTCCCAGTTCTCTTTCTCTGCTCTTCCACTTGTATAATCTCCTATCTCCTCACAGTAGCCCGGTGATCTTCTAAATTATGTATCTGATCCTGTTCCCTCCTTCCTCTTTCCCTGTCTGAATGCTTCTGTGACATTCTGTGGCCCTAGAGTCACATTGAGAATTATGATGACTCCAAGGTCACGTGCGATCTGGTCTTGGCCCCACCAGGCCTCCCATGTGTGCCCCTTCTCTCTGCTTCAGGGACTTTGCACATGCCGTTCCTGTGCCTGGAATGCCTTTCTCTCCCTTCACACCTACCCTCTGGCTTGTCCCTTCTCCCCAACTTGCATCTTCCTTGAGATCAACGTCGATGTACTTCTCCAGCTCTCCGCCCATACACACCCCACCACCTCCAGTCTGGGTTGCAGGCTCTTACTGCACCTGCTATTTGTCTTTAATGTCTGTCCTCTTTCTAGATTGTAAGCACCATCAGGGCAGAAGTTGTGTCTGTTTTGTGCATCACTCTGTACCCAGTACCTAACACAGTGCCTGGAACACAGGAGGCGCTCAATAGGTGTTTGTTGAAAAATGAATGGATATACCACACAGTTCGTAATTTGCACTTAATTACACACTGTCTTGTATTATTTGTTGTGTTTCATGAATTTCACGAATTAGTTTAGCAACTCTGTGACATCAGCCAACATAGTGTGTGTTTTTCTGAGTCTCCCACAGTGCTCAACTTATAGTCACGTTCAGAGAATATTATTGGCTAAGAGATTATGAGCATTTTATACATTCAGGCCCTGCCATAACAGGCTAGATAACTAAGAGAGGAATTCAATTATGTGTTGTCTGTGTGGGTGTAAGTTATTATAGATACTTTCTGCTGATTGGCAAGGTAAGTAATAACCAAAGCTAGACATAATCTTACTTATGGGATTTCTGCCTCAAAATAAAAAAAAAATAAAAATCAACTGTGATATAAATATCTCTCCCACAATCTTAGTTTACTGATTTTGGAAACAGTCTCATTATAAGACGTTGAAGGACCGGTTGTGTTCAGTTCATTCTGCTGTGAGGACATCGTCCGTGTTGGATGCATAGAAAAGTGTGCAGACCCATCTGTCTTGATAGCGACTGTTAGAATTTGCCTGGCACAAGGAATTGATTTGCCATCGTTCTTTCTTATAACGTGACTTGTCCACAACTCCCTGTTCGAAATGGCATTTGTACCATAGAAGTCCAGCAATAAAAATCTTACCGGGTTATGCAGGAACAATATGATGTTTTTTCAGTAACTTTCACAACTTGTACTTTGACACAAGGGGTCTTTAGTTTCTGTCCTTCTTTGTCCAGATCTTCTGATTGACTTTTTCTCCTTCTGCCCTGTTATTTTTCTAGACTGGCAGAGATAGCACTGAAAATATTTTTGGTGTCATTAAAAATAATCTATTTTCTCACTGTGTTGAAAATGCTTTTTTGCAGACAAGAAGCCCCAAACTGTCTCATAGTCCTCAACCTCCCGACCTGGTCGAGCATTTATCGGAGGCGTCTGGTGACTCCCTGGAAGCCATGTCGGAAGGGGATGCGCCGAGCCCTTTCTCCAGAGGCAGCCGGACCCGAGCCAGCCTTCCCGTGGTCAGGTCCGCCAACCAGACGAAAGAAAGATCTCTAGGTAAGCGTCGGAAGGCGGTTTCCGATGCCCCTTTGCTATTGCATGTGTGTGTGTTTATGCTTCTGAACATCTACCCTGCATTCAGTGTTACTTTTCTCTTGTTTTGTGAAAACACTGGGCCGGGGGACTTGATTGGTTTCATAGCAGACGTCGAGGAGGGTTTGCCTGCTAAAGAGTCAGGGCCGTCCAGGCTGTCGTTGGGGCTGGGCACTTTCAGAACTGACTGCGATCGGCAACTCGAGCCAAGAGGCAGGTGGGATGTGGCAGCAGCCTGGCAACCCTCCTCCCCAGTCCCAGAAGCAGGACGGTCGGGTGTGCTCCCTGGAACCTGGTTTGCACACGCTGCGCCCCCCTGTCCGGCAGTCCAGAGGAGGGCAGGAAGGGCCCCAGGTCAAGTAGGGGGGCGAGGTGGCCAACACCTGCGGGGCTGCTAAGGAAAACCATGAACTTGAGGCTGTTCCCGCCGCTGTGTGCGGGCTCAGTGTGTGCAGTGCACAGCAGTTCCAAAAGGCAGGGCTCTTTCTGCCTGTACCACGTATCATTTGCTTTTTTTGTGTTGGACTGTCACTTTCTATCTTGCTTTGCTTTTTGTATTTCTATTTTTTTTGAGACAGAGTCTCACTCTGTTGCCCGGGCTAGAGTGCCGTGGCGTCAGCCTCATTCACCGCAACCTCAAACTCCTGGGCTCAGGCAATCCTCCTGCCTCAGCCTCCCGAGTAGCTGGGACTACAGGCATGTGCCACCATGCCCACCTAATTTTTTCTATGTATATTAGTTGGCCAATTAATTTCTTTCTATTTATAGTAGAGACAGGGTCTTGCTCTTTCTCAGGCTGGTCTCGAACTCCTGAGCTCTAGCAATCCTCCCGACTTGGCCTCCCAGAGTGCTAGGATTATAGGTGTGAGCCACCGCGCCCAGCCCTGCTTTTTGTATTTCTATTTTTGGCCCTTTAACAAAGCATATAAATCATAAGGATTTAGACCTGTTTGCCAGTTGGGCTGGTGTTTCATGGCTTCACTGCCACATTCTGGTTCCGACTCAGTGTGTGTGTGTGTGTCCGTGCGTGCACGTGCGTGCAAGTGCGTGCAAGCAGATGACGTCAGAGTAAGAGGGTACAGAAAACGGGTCTGCCTGCAAAAGCCTCTGGAGTCTGGCCTGTGTGTAAGATAGCTGGTTCTGCCATGGACAGCTGAGCAAATGCCTTGCCAGGGGAAGAAAGAAGAAAACAGATGTGAGAAGGTGCCCTGATTTTGTTTTCCTTGATCATAAATGATGACCCTAGCAGACTGAGTTCAAACATTGTCTCAGCTGTACCAAAAAAGAGAGAGAGAGAAAAAAGAAAACCATCATTATTGGCTGGGTGTGGTGGCTCACACCTGTAATCCTAGCACTCTGGGAGGCCGAGGTGGGCAGGTTGTTTGAGCTCAGGAGTTCAAGACTAGCCTGAGCAAGAGGCGAGACCCTATCTCTACTAAAAATTTAGAAAGAAATTAGCTGGACAACTAAAAAATAATATATATATAAATTAGCCGAGTATGGTGGCTTGTGCCTGTAGTCCCAGCTACTCGGGAGGCAGAGGCAGGAGGATCGCTTGAGCCCAGGAGTTTGAGGTTGCTGTGAGCTAGGCTGACGCCACTGCACTCTAGCCCAGGCAACAGAGTGAGTGAGACTCTGTCTCAAAAAATACCCATCCTTATTTGCATTATCAATATTAATGTTTAACATTAAATTTTGTAGACTTGGATTTAATCCAGGGTCCTTATTCTACAAATGAGAGAAGGTGGCCACAGAAAACCCACTTGTGCGTGTGTATTCGTTTGAGCTCATGCAGTTGGTTAAATAAATGGCAGCAGCCAGAAGTCCAGGCCCACAGTTCCCGTTAGTCCCATGGTGTGAATAAAAGGACAGGGACACGCAGGGGTGAGACGCACCCAAGGAACACATTGGGCCTGGGCTATGTCAAGATGCCTGAGGCTGCACACCACCCCCAGGCTGGGAGTTTCCATCCGATTAAAGAAATTTGTGCTTTCTCAACACCGATCACACTCAAGGTGGGAGTGGAGCCGTGCAGGGAGTGGAATTTCTCCTTTGTGCTTTGCTGGAAACGAGTGAAGTGCAGGTCTCTGTAGAGATAGCTTCTGCTTTGCAAAGTAAGATGAAGATAAGAATAAATACCTACTCACCTTCCCCCATACCTAGGCAACCTTGGGTCTGCTGGATAATGGAGCCTTTGTCTTGAAGGCAGGAATTTTGCCTGGCGGCCAAGTGGGTTTGGCAGACGGTGGCCAAGTTCATGGCCGGAGCAGAGCCGTGGGGCGGAGAGGCTGCGGGAGAGGAGCGGGGGCGGCCTTGCCCAAGGAATTCCGAGGGTGGCGGGTGTGTCCTGACAGGGCTGGCTTCTGCAGAGCACCCTGCACTCTTTGCTGCAAAGCGCTGGTGGTCACTGTCCCGGCCGGCAGAAAAGATGCATCTGAGCTGTTTATTCTGCTGTCGCCATTAGCCGGGCTTTTTGGCCTGTGATGTTTCGTAACTCCTGGACAGAAACAAAGGAACCCAGCGAGACAGGAGAGGAGAGAAATCAAAGCAAGGGGAGCCAAGTTCCCAGAAGATCAGTCTGGCCCCAGGCCAGGGGGGTTGGCGCTGCCCTTGACCCCCTCTTTGTGGCCGACTTGGGAAATGTCCTCCCCGCTGCACCTGGCCCGCATGGCGTAATCCCTTTGGGCCCCGGGTGGGAAATAAAGAGGAAAATGTGAGTCATGGAGAATCTAAGTGCAATCTCCCTCCCAAGGGCCTTCCTCCGCCTCCTCTCTAGGAAGCTCCCCACGTGCCTGGCCTTATTTAACACGCAGACGCGCGGGCTCCTGGGGCCAGCGGCGCTCCCCGGATAGCCGGGCCATGAGCAGTGGTGTCCCCCAGCACTGGGTGGCCCAGCAGCACAGCGGTGACTCCACAGGGCCTCTGGGGCTGCACACCCGACTTTTTGAGCTGTGACCTCCTGGAAACCCTCTGTTGGTGCCATTCGGAAGCCCTGGGTGTCTTTTGGCATCTGTACATTGTCATTTTCTCTTAATCCACAGAGTTTTAAGATCTCCCACGAAGCCCTGTTGATCTTGTCTTTACTTAAAATTTTGATGGTCTGTTCATGATGGATTTTTTTTTTTAATTAAAGACTTCATTTTTTTTAAGATTTTACGTTTTGCAACAATTTTACGTTTGCAACAAGATTGAGTGGAAAGTTTAGAGAGTTCTCAAATAGCTCGAGTCCCCACCCAAGCACAGCCCCCTGTACTATCCACATCTCCACCGGAGTGGCACATTTATTATAATCCATGAGCCTACTGGATACGTCACTGTCACCCAGAGTCTGTAGCTTACATTAAGGTTCACTCTTGGGGTTGTACGTTCTATGGGTTTGGACAGATGTGTAATGCCATGATTGTCCCATTGCAGTATCACATGGAGGGGTTCACTGCCCTAAAAGTCCCCTGTGCTCTGCCTACCCATCCCTCCTGCCAACCCCTGACAACCTCTGACCTTTTCAGAATCTCCATTGTTTTGCTGTTTCCAGAATGTCATATAGTTGGAATCCTACAGTATGTGTAGACTTTTCAGATTAGCTTCTTTCACTTAATTATATGCATTGAAGCTTCCTCCCTGTATTTCTGTGGCTGGATAGTTCATTTCATTTTAGCATCTAAATAATCCTCTGTTGTCTGGATGTACCACCGTTTGTTTATTTATTGACCTACTGAAGGATATCATGGTTGCTTCCAAGTCTTGGCAATTATGAATAAGGTTGCTATAAATGTCCCTGTGCAGGTTTTTGTGTGGACATCGCTTTTCACTCCTTTGGGTGGACACCAAGGAGCACTAGTGCTGGGTTATGTGGGAAGACTGTGTTTAGTATTGTCCCATCGTGGATTCTTGCCTTAGTTTTGATTTTTAAGAATAGTGCAGTAGGCCGGGCGCAGTGGCTCACGCCTGTAATCCTAGCACTCTGGGAGGCCGAGGCAGGCGGATTGCTTGAGGTCAGGAGTTTGAAACCAGCCTGAGCAAGAGCGAGACCCTGTCTCTACTATAGATAGAAATAAATTAATTGGCCAACTAATATATATAGAAAAAATTAACCAGGCATGGTGGCGCATGCCTGTAGTCCCAGCTACTGGGGAGGCTGACGCAGCAGGATTGCTTGACCCCAGGAGTGCAGTAAGATATTATTTATCGTGATTACTGAGTTTTGGGGGCCCCCTTCTCTTTTTCTCTGGAAGCACATGCCTCACCCCAGTGCCAGCACTGCATGTCACCGCAGGATTGTCAGACATGGTGGCTGCCGGCCCCCAGCCATGGAGCCAGAGTGACAGGAGAGAGTGCAGGCCTGGGGCTGTGCCTCTGCACGTGGTGCAGTTTGTCCCTTGAGTCCTTCCCAGCCCGGGCAGCGCAGGACTGCGGGGAGGCTAGGGCACCCCAAAGGTGGAGCCTGGACCGACCGAACCCTCAACCCATTCCCCTCCTGGGAGGGAGGAAACCTTCCCTCGCTGCAGGCCGCCTGTCTGCAGGTAAACGTGCCGCCTCATAATTTTTCCACCTGAATAATCCCTCGTTTCTCTGGCTTCTGTGCATTTCGGGCCCGGGAGGAGCGCAGGGAGGCTGGGCACGGTGCATTCTGCAGCTGCTTTCGGGAGACACGCAGGGGAGAGGGTGGGGAGCAGCGAGCCGTCCCTCGGACGCTGTCCTGGGATTCGGGTGCCTGCTTTTTGGGGGGGGAAGCAATCTGCTGCTGCAGGCAGGGCCAACGACAGCACACGCCAGTCCTTTCTGAGGCTGAGAGCCGACTGGCCATTCTTGGAGATTTACAAAGCAGAAAGGTAAATACTGAAAGAAATTGGCTCAGGGCTCTGATGAATCCCATAGCCAGGTTCCAATGACCTTTTATCTCCAAATCTTTACTTCCCTGCCCGCTCTACCCATCCGGGCTCCAGCAGAAATCCTTTCGAAAGTGG